AGACACTACAAGCGTTTAGGAATGATTTTGGAAGACCTCTAGATAAGGAAAATAAAATAAAAAGAACAGACTTGGAAGATGATGATATGGTTCAAGATGAGTGTGACGAATCAAATGATCTGTGGCGGTGGAAGAAGAAGTCAATATTCTTTGAACTACCTTACTGGAAGGTAAGTATATTTTCTGATTATGTCTTATATGTCTGACATTTTGTGAATATGTCTGAGATTTTCTGCTTTAACGTGTTAGGATCTCCCTGTTAGACATAATATTGATGTTATGCACGTGGAGAAGAATGTCTCAGATGCTATATTGTCTATCATGATGCAAAGTTCAAAGTCAAAAGATGGTTTGAAATCAAGGAAAGACTTAGAAGATATTGGAATCCGAAAAAGCACTTGCATACAGAGCTTAGGGGAAAGAAAACATACTTACCTCCAGCAGCTTATTGGTTATCCAAGAAAGAGAAGACCATTTTCTGCCAAAGGTTATCTAAGTTTAGAGGTCCTGATGGTATTGTGGTAATATTGCTAATAGTGTTTCAGTTAACCCTCCAAATATTGGCAGTTTAAAGTCGCATGATCATCATGTGCTTGTGCAAAACTTGTTACCAACTGCATTAAGAGGGCTCTTACATAGGGGTCCCCGGATTGCCATTAATAGATTGTGTAGCTATTTCAACAGGTTGTGTCAGCGTGTCATCGACCCGGAGAAACTCATAGCATTGGAGACAGATTTTGTGGAAACAATGTGTTAACTGGAGCGCTTCTTCCCTCCATCTATTTTTGATATCATGTTCCACCTTCCAATCCATCTTGCGAAAGAGGCACGTTTAGGAGGACCAGTACACTTTCGTTGGATGTATCCATTTGAAAGGTTTGATGTACTCATGTTCATATTATGTACATACAAACTTGAATGATGTTTGGCTAATATTCATATTTCTTTACTGAGTTATAGGTACATGAAAACACTAAAGGTTTTTGTCAAGAATCATGCTAGGCCAGAAGCATGTATGGCTGAGGGTTATTTAGCTGGAGAATGCGTTGCTTTCTGTTTAAAGTTCCTTCAAGATTCAGTACCGGTTAAGGAAACTATTAATCGCAATGAAGATATTGAGGCTGATAGAGTTGTGGTTGAAGGTCAACCTCTGCAGAAGGGTGTAGATGTTATCCTTTCAGATAAAGATAGAGACATTGCACATCGCTATGTGCTAATGAACATGGCATCAATGGAGCCATATGTTGGGTAAGAGTTTACCATTTCTGTTTCATCTACTGCTTATTATATTTTCATCCTGATTATTATATTTTCATAATGTCAAAATCAGGATGCATTTGGAAGAATTACAAGCTAATGATGCTCGATGTGCCAGAAATGAAACCTTACTGTGG